CGACGATGCGACAAAATAGGTGTCCTCCCTAGGCAAAATTGACGTTCCGGACGCGTTGGCGCAGTCCGTTTCGTCATCCGGGGTCGCTCGGACGACGTCGTCGACGGTCGGGTCAAAAACGCGTCGAAATTCAAATTTCACAAAAATATTGACCCGCGATCGATTGTCTCAAAAATTTCATTCGGGTCTTCGACGGGTAACAGTGCAAGCGATGTGAATTATGGCGATCGGACGTGTCGACTCTCCGAATTGCGAAGTTTGTGCGCGCGGGAGTGCGAATTGTGCAGAAGGCCACCCTAAGGCTCAAAAAGGTCCTATAGGGGTCCCTTTTGGGTTTCCTCATGTTGGTTTCACCCTTCTAAATGCTAGAAGTCGATACCACACACTTGGAACCACAAAAGAGGACGGAAATAGGTCGAACTAAAACGAGGCGGGCACCACTTCTAAGGTTCTAAGATAATCGCAGGAAGACCCCTAAGGCTAGATCCTAACTCCTACGAGAAAAACTAGACCTCACGAAAATTGAGGTCAACAACCCACTACATCCTCTTGCACCTGTCCACACCACCATCTCTCTGCTTGTCCATCTAGTGTAAATGTGGTCAGTGTAACCATCTTCTCTGTAGGACAAGACAATTCATCTAGGATCTTCTCCACTCTCAGCAGTCAGTTTTTAGCATTTACCGGACCACCTCTAGAAAAGAGAGGTGGTCTCATATCCTAAAATAATTTCAGATACTTATCCATCTGACATCCTTCACTGGAATTGGCCTGAGTCTGAGAATTCTTAATCAGCTACGTTATTGTAGTCATCATCTCAGTAAATGCATCTGCATTCGCAGTAATTCGTGGGTTTGCATCTACAAGATCAGCTCTAGCTTCATCTCCTTAATTTTCCATATTATTGAAATAGCATAAGAGAATTATAATTAGACATAATTTAATCTTTCATTCATATCACTTATAAATTAATTTAATCAATCTAATGACTCTTTTAGATCATGATCAAACCTAATTACTTTGATATCACTATTGTCACGACCCGACCCGGTGCTTAAAATTAATTGAGATGTGAACAACGGTCGGACGGTGTTAACATCTAACTATTCATATTTTGAAAACTTTCTATACATATAAAAAAACCACAAATTCACAAAGTGCAATAAAATATAAAACATCCTGAACATTTAAGAATAACATCTCAAGCCAATACAAAATAGTATATCAATATTTGAAGGAAATAGTAAAGATAAAATATCATTATAACAAATATACCTAGCAGTAGTGATTCTCCTCTGGTAAACAAAGTCTCTCTTATCAGATATATCAATCTAAAATTTTTCTTTTTCTGAAAGAAAACATTAACTTCAACGAAAATTTTACTTATTAAGTAATTATAATATAATATGCATTAAGGGCTCATTTGGGCAGCTTATTTGGTGCTGTGGCGTTTTGAAAATGCACATAGTTTATTTGGGTAAGCTGTGTTCTGGCAGCTTATATGTTTTCAAAACGCTTAAAATAACATTTTCACACCGCACCTGTCTAGGTGCGGTGGCAGCTTTCTAACAGCGGTCTAGCTTTTCCAAAAAAATAAAAATTTGAAATAGCCATCGCACCTAGCTTATCAGCAGATTATTTTTAATCAGCTTATCAGCAGATTATTCAATAGGCTGCAGCTGTCCTAAGCATATCATAAATTTCTTATGTTATGCTATTTTATGTCATGCATGAATGACTTGAAGAAAATACATTTCATTTCATTAAAAGTTTAAAACTATTACTTCTCGTTTCACTTTTAGTAATTATCAATTTAATCTCTTTAATAATCATCACAGGATTACCGTTATACCTGAATGTATCATAACAATATGCCTTGAAGGCACTCTCAAAATGTGTTCAAAGACAACCTACAAAATGTACTCGAAGGTACCCTTAAATTGCACCTGAAAACGATCCTTCACTATTTCCTTTAACGTGCATATGTACGTTGCATCCCCTGTCAATACTATTTGAGGATAATTCTGTATGATTTAAATATTTAAATTTCATTTAATTCATTTGAATTACATTATTTTAAAGACATTAAGCATTTTTTTCTCTTTCCCCTTTCATTTTTTTTTCATTCTTAAGCTACAACATACATACAAACATAATTTTCTAATGCATTAAAGAAATTCTTTATTTAATAAAATTTAAATTTAATACTATAAGAAAATAATTACTCTTCTTGGTTAGCTTGCTTACCACAGACTCCCGAACCCTGATTTTCTAGGCTTAAATGTGCTTCAACCTAAAATTGCAATTAAACATTAATATTTTATTAATATCAATTCATATTTAATTAAACTAAATTTTAATTTAAGGCATATCTTATCTTTTAAAATTATCTATCTTCTTCCTCAAATCTGAGGGTTAGCCGACCTTCTTCCTCAATTCTTAATATTAATAAAGTTTAATAACATTAATTAATTGACGTAGCTAATTACATCGTTAGTTTCATTAATGACAGAAGGTTTAACATGTATCTTATAGGCTCAAGTCGATCTCTTCCCTTTCTCGCTCACTTCACAACTTCCTCTTCTTCAAAGCCAAAATCTCTTTATTAAAGTCCTGATTAAATTGACATTGCATTTACACACACACGAAAAATTATTAAATAGCTTAAATAATGTCTAAGATACTTTGAAATATTTTGATTGTCTGTAATTTTTCCCTTTCCCTCACCTGAATTTCGCGTCATCTCATTACCAATTTTTTTCTTAATTTATTATTTCAATCCTGATATTGCATATAATTAAACTATTCCCTTAAATAATATACACACATATATGTATTTTTACAAAAACATAATTAAATAACATAATAACTTCTAAAACTAACCTTATTAAGCTTATTTGGCGTGCCCTACTATCGGAGTTCAGCAGCAGCACAGGGAGCCTGCTCTTCTTCTTTTCCCTCGTGTGCCTTGAAAGCCCAAATTGCACACACGTGCTCCTTCGATTTTGATTCGATCTAGGGAGAAAAAAGTTTCATGTAGTCAATCCCACTTAGTGGGATAAGGGCTTGTTGTTGTTGTTGTACTATTCTAGATGATTAGATTGTGTCCACTTTTAATGATGGATTCCAGAGATATCTTGTTCATTTACACTATAGGCTTATGCTGATTTATATAGTAGGTTGTAATAATCTATGAAGCACTTAATTTATCATGATTTTCTTGATAAATATCAGATGTGATCGTTGTTGTGGTTGACTTTGTCTAAACCAAGTAAATTTGATGAAAATGTTTGTATTTATTCCTTCAAAAGCATCACCTAAAGCAATGGTATGTGCATAGTTTATTTATTTTTCTTTATATTAATTGGCTTATTTATTTTGTTAATTTTGAATTTAAGAACGTGTATGTAATGTAGAAATATAGAGGATGTATTTTTTTTTTTCTTTTTTGTTCTTACGATTTGACATGATTTTAGCTCCAATTCAATTTAAGTTGAGTTTTGTAGTGGAGTATTTCAAGGTTTACCCGGTATTGCTGGATTTAAGTTAATGCAAGTTTATCTGGTTTAGAAGTTTTTAGATGGTGAGCTTTGGCGTTATGTTGGCACACTAAAGGAGAAGAATAATAACTTGGTGCTCGATTCTGAGAGGACGGAAGGAGAAGAATAAGAACATGCTGCATCACGAAGCCTTCATGCATCTCTTCTGCTGCATGAGTCTTGGTGAAGTAAATGGTGAAGTAAATTAAAATTTTACTTAGGAAGTTCTTACCTTACACTTTTAAGAATCTGATTCATTGGAAGTCATTTAAAAATTTCCGAGAAAGACATTTTATGCTCCTTCGTTGACGTACCTTTTATTGGTCTGGGTAAGACATTTTATACTTTTGCAGAATACCTATTATGTATCTTCTTATAATTGAATGTAAATATTTGTTTTTTTTTTCTAGGCTCATGTTTTTTTCATTTTTAAAGAAACTTTGGCACAAGATTGTTGAAGCTATATCTGTGATTTGTTGTTTTGTTCTATGCTGTTAATTTTAACTTAAAACTTGACATTTGAATCTGTTGAATGATTTATTCCATCTTTATGGCAAATTTTAATTGCCATAGTAATGAGAAACTGTTGTTCTTCTTTATAACTTTGAAGATCATTTTCCTGGAAAATATTTTGTGCTCTGGTTGTATGCGTATCAAGAGATAAAACGAGAGAGGGAAAAGAGAGAGTGCACTGATTTTGTCAGTTGCACCCTTTCTTTCTCCTCGCATTCTTCTCTTTAGGCAGAGCACAAAGGTCGCCTAATATTCTTCTATCTTTTTATAAAGTGTAGGAGCCTTGTTATATAAGTTGGAATTGATGCATTTATTGAACCTACAGAGGCTAGCTGCTTCAGAAGAAATATTTCCATATTCGAGTAGAACAAAGCAAATATTTGCATCTGAGGAAATAAAGAACTTCATAAAAGCTTCTTTGTCCAAGGTATCCTACGTCAAAATTTAAAATTTTAACATTTATTTCATTGTGTATGTTTTCTTTGAATGAGGGTGAGGAACTAAAAATGAAAGCTATGCAAATTATATGCCCGCATGAATTTTGTGGCACTTAATATATCGCATTTTTTTCTCTAACCATCTATGTTATTTTCTCGACTTCCAACATGACTTTAATCTGATAGAGAATCTATTAGATTTACTCAGGGGTGTAAATGAGTTGAATTTGAGCGAGCCCAATGCGTGTTCGTGTTTGGTTCGTTCAAATTTATTTGTGTTTTTGTACGGTTTGTATTCGAAATGGCTCGTAAATAACTTGATGTTCGACTCAATTCTAACTCATTTGTTCGACTTAAGCTCATGTTTGACTTGATTTAATTTAACTTGCTCACCTGATCTCATTGAACTAAAAAATATGTTTAATTAAATTATTATTTTTTAATTTAAAATTTTAATTATTTTCACTTAATAAGCGGTTCTGGTGCTTAAAATCTGCATGGTTTAAGTTTTCTTTTGTCTTGAAGAACATTAACTTTTGGTTTTAGAAGGTATTTCTCACAGAAACCTTTAGTAGTTGTTGATGTGGGACTAAACATTACTTGAGAGTTGAGAAGTTGAGAATATGGAATGCAGCATGCAAGTCCCCAACATTCTGTCGTTCCACACCCAATTTCGGCCCACCTGCATCTACAAAATCCAAATAAATGCTTGAGATTACATACATACCAGTGGTTTTAGTTTCTTGAATATTTGAATTCATTTAATTATAAAATTAAGAACTTCCTGATCTCATTTGTCGGGAGTGACTCCCCTCAAATCCTATTTTTAGGACATTTAAATACATACCACTCAAATTCTATGTATTTACATATCTAATACTTAAATTTATATATTTTATAATTATATCACCTAAATAATTTTTAAAAATAATTATATTTGACATTTTTTAAATACATATAAAAATTATGTAAAAAGGATGTAAATAAATATTATTATTTGATATTTAATTGTTTTGAGTCAAAATGGGCCAAAAACGATTGAAAAAACTTCTATTCGCGTTCGACTCATTTATAAATTGAGCTCAAAATGATTATTCGTGTTCAGCTCGCTTGTTTAACGAAGGAATTAAACACAAACTGTTTAACGAGCTGAACACGAGTTGCTCGCAAACGACAAGCTTTATTTGCAGTCCTAAATTTTATAATGCATTTATTAGTGTTTGATAGAAGATATGTCATCATAACTTGTTAAGGCACTTGAGATTTTAGATTTATGGTGTGTTTGAGGGGAAAAATTTGCGTACGTAAGACATACGCATTGCTGCGTATGTTTTGGAGGTTATACAAGGGGTATAAGGGAGTTATATCCGCTTTATACCCCCTTGTAACCTCCATGTAACCTACCTAAAACCTACAAAACGTACGCAACGCTGTGTACGTCTTACGTACGCAAATATTTCCCGTGTTTGGGATAGCTTTTTAGATGTAGTATGGCCCCTTGATACAGAAATATGTGTTGGGAAAGAATGCAGAAGTTTTTTGAGATAAGCAGATGTAAACGCGGGTTGCGGGTTCAACCGCGGCCCGCCTTTTGATCGCGAGAAATATCTCTCATGCCCTCGTGTTTTGTTCGTGTGCCTTTTTTGCTGCTGTCGTGTTTCTCTCACATATCTTTGCCTTAGCTCCCTTCTCCTCTCTCCCCTAACTCTGGTCGGCGGTTTTGGTGGTAGCTCTCATCTCCTTCCTCTATTCTTTCCACTCTGTGGTTCCAATGGCACTCTCCCATTTCTCCTTATGGTATTTTCTACTCTATACTACTGGCGTTGATTTGTCCTATGTGGCTTGCTCTTTGCGATTTTTGGCTTTGCTCTATTTGTTGTTTCTGGCATTTTTTCCATTGCCCATGTGTGTCCTTTGTTCTAGAGTATATGTTGGAAGGGTTCTATGTTAGTCCCTTTGCGATTTCAAGCATTTACCATTACCTGTGTGGCTTGTGCTATCTACTCTTTGTTGGAAATGTATGAAATGAGGCTCTATGCAATTTCTGACATTGTACTTACCTTTCATTTTCTGATCCATATAATTTGTGGTTTGGTTTTACGATTTGTTGCCACTGGAAAGATTTTTTTTTGTTTGCCCAGTGTGACTTACTCAGTTGGGGCGTTTTCCTCTATTTTGTTTTTGGTTCAATTTAAGCAGACATGCAATGCTATACTACTGCTCTACTTATCGGTTTAGTTCTTGTTGGTGATTTGCCCTCTTTATTTGATTTGACAATTGTATGTTGGTGGTGATGTTTGTATTGGTGGTGATATTTGTATTTGTTGTGTGGGTAATATTTTTTTGTGCCGTGATAGTGGAGTTGTTGGTGGTCATGTTGTGCCATTGTGGTGATGTTGTTGGTGGTGATGGTGGTGTGTGTGGATGTTTGGGTAATTTTTTTTTGTGCCATGTTAGTGGTATTGTTGGCGGTGATATTGGTTATGTGTGGATGTTGGTTGTAATTTTTTAGTGACATGGTAGTGGTGGTGGTGTGTGTTGAAGTTGGTGGTGATTTATTGGTGACATGGTGGCAGTGGTGTTGGTGGTGATGTTTGTAGTGGTTTATTTGTGCCATGGTGGTGGTGTGTGGTGATGGTTTATTTGTGCCATGGTGGTGGTGTGTGTGGATGTCAGTGGTGGTTTTTTGGTGACATGATGGTGGTGGTGTTGGTGGTTGTTTTTCGGTGCATGATGGTGGTTGTTTTTCGATGAGATGATGGTGGTTGTGTTGGTGATGTTTTTCTGGTGACATGGTGTTGGTGTTGGTGGGTTTTTGTGATGTTTCTTTTTCAGTTATTTTTTTGGTAGTATTTTAAACGACACTGTTTTTTCTGCTACACTTTATGTTGCTTGGTTTTTTTTCATACCAGTGTCGTCATGGTCAAGACAAAAGAAATTGGTTCGTCTGTCATGTGGGGTAAAAATGTGAAATTAATATTTTGTCATCTCTACCTTAAAAAGGTGGAATTAGGAGATAGACCACCATCTATTTTAACAGGGAGGGCTGACAAAATATAATAAAGAAGTTTGGGGAAAGCACAATAAGGGAATATGATAAAACACAATTGAAAAACATGTGGGATCGGTTGAAGGACTGAAAAATAAGGAAATAGTTGAAGTGAGGATCCACAGGCTTGGGTTTGGACCCAATAAAACAAACTATTGGTGCTTTGGAAGAATGGTGGGCCGAGAGATTTGAGGTCAGAATTTTTGAAATGTGAAGTCTCCTATAAATTATTTATTTTTGCAATTACACAACATATGAATAATCCATTAATTTGTTGGTCGTTCCAAATGCTAAAAAAATTTAAGTTCATTGGCATTGACCGCGAGCTTGAAGAAAAATTGGATTGTGTGTTTGGAGTTTTGGCCACGAACAATCATGCATGGGCCCCTAGAGAGAGAAGGCTTGCTGGCATAGCTGAGCATATGGATGCCGAGCTAACTGCTGGCTCCATTGAAGGTCCCATACCTAATCTCAATGAAGTTGAATTTACTAATCGATTTGAATGTTCTAGGGTTGATAAAAGAAAAGGGAAGGTAACATTTTCATTAGAAGCCAAATTTCACAGTTGTTTCATGCATTAATGACCCAAGCACATCATAAGCAACTTATATTTAGCAAGTACCATGATTTCTAGAGTTAACTTCAGAAATTTATGAGGATATGTCGTTCTACTTGTTCTCTATGAAGTTACTAGAAGACCTGCTTGGATAAAGTTATTTATGGCGATGATTCCTGACCGTCGGATTAATTATTTACGTTATTTTCATGACAACCGAGATGCATGAATTTCATTTTATTTATTAGACATTTTATATTTGTTTTTTAAGGGGACATATTTATGCTTCAGTTTTCTTTCCTGGACACTTTCTTTCTCATTCTTTGTGGGGACGACAAGCAGTACAATTTGTTAATTTTTTTTCAAAATTTCTTTATAAATATTTTTTTTTAAAAACATGTTCTGGTTCTAGCTAATTTGATAATATTTATAGGTGTTAGCTGCATAAACTATGAATAACATTGATAGAGAAAGACGCAGAAGAAGAATTATAGCTGTGTTATGCTTAATGTATAAGTACTACAACTCATATATTGCTCGCTCTTCTTGCATGACATTCACATACACATGCGATAAGGGGGTTAGGGAGTTGCTTGTAGAACGCCCAACAAGATTTAACAATATATTACATATGACAGCCTGTATTTATTAGTCTTTTGGAAGAAGTACTCATAAACCATGGACTTGATGGCTCATCCAGGATGACTTTCAAAGAGGTGTTACTAGTAACCCTCTATAATTTATCATAAAATGAATCTATAAAAAGAGTCATGGAGCGATTTCAACAATCATTTGAAACAATCAGTAGATTTTTTTTCAATTGGGTGGAATGCCCCGACGAATTTATCATAAAAAAAATTATCGAACTCAAGCGCCTAACATTCCAAAGGGCTCCCATTGAAATTTCACAGCATCATTATTACATGTCATATTTTAAGGTAAATTCATGTATTCATATTTTTCTGAATTCAATTGAACACAATAATTCAAATACCTTTTTTTAAACGCTTTAGGATTATATTGGAGCGATTGATGGAACAATTAGATGCACGTGTTGAACAGTGAAGCGATCGCATTCATCGGGTGATGCAGTTTACCAACACAAAATATTATGGTTGTATGTGACTTTAACATGTACTTCACTTTTGTTATGGCCGGATGAGAATGTAGTGCACACGACAATCGCATATTCATATTTACAACAAAAACTCAGAATACAACTTCCCGCACACCGCTTCAGGTTTGCTTGACTATGAATAAATGAAAAAATACGTTGACTGCAATATTTATATTTATATCAGATAAATATTATTTAATAGATGTTGGATATCCCTTACAAAGAAGGTTTCACAAACTATTTCCTTATACCAAATACCACATTGCTGATTTTGAAAGAGCTAGCAACGTTGCTCGGCATAGGAAATGGATGTTTAACAAGAGAAACTTGTTCTTACACAATGTCATTGAAAGAATATTTAGAGTTTGAAAGAAAAAATGGGTCATTTTACTGGATATGTTGACATATTTGTTTAACAAACAAGTGCAGATTGTGATCGCTACAATGACTCTCCACATTCAATATGACAGATGAAGATCATTCATATGTCTCTATTGAATCATATAAATATCTATGTAAGTATTAATTACATGTTTTATTTTTTAGTTTGGAGGTCCATGATGAGATATTCGACCTTATGAGTTCTTCTGGATGGCTTATAAGCAGTTGAGTCTCAGTTTAAATTTTTTGGAAAGCAGACTTTAAAATTTTTGCATCTAAACTAATTTTGTTCCTTTTTAGATTCGCCCCTAAACACTTTCATTCTCTAATGTTTTGTTTTTTTGTGACATTAATTAATAACATTTGGAAAACGAGTATTACATGGGAATTGTTTTTGAGATTTATAATCACAAGATTTGTATTTGTTCCATGAGATTGTTTGCTTTTCTCAGGTTGAGCTCAGGGACTACAATCCTCTCGAACATGAGAGGGGTCTTTATCCACAGCTTGGCAGGCTAGTAGACGAAAGCTTGCAGTTTGGGTGAAGTACCATCTTCCACAAGACTGGCGTTTAGCATTTTTTTTGGATTTATTCTTATAAATATATACAGTTCCAAATTCTTACCCTTTAATACTTTTATAATTATGCATATCTTTAAAGCTATGCAGCTAACTTTGGGATAAAACTTTGGGACATTTACATACATACAACACACTTCTTATATATTTACATATCCACACCTGAACTTTGATATTTACATGCATACAACTCAAATATCTAACATCGCTCAAAAAAGTGCAATTATTACTAACTTTTAAAAAGTAAACTTCTTTTTTTTATGCTTAGGTTTATGATACATTATAAATGTAGATACCAAATTTTAGTTATTAGACAAATCAATACGTAAGAACTGTGTGGTATGGCAAGTAAATTTCCCTAAATTTTTTTGCTCCCTTTCATTGCAAATTCTTGTTCCACGACTTACTGATTATACAGAAATAGGCTCTCTCTCCCTCTCTCTCTCTCTATATATATATATATAACCTTAATTCTAGACAGTGATAATCAATTTTTTATACGCAACATTAACGAAGAACCTGTCACTCCATGTCCAGCTCATTACCAAAACACGAATCAAGTCATAAGCTTGCAGATATTCAACATCATCAGTCATCTTCTTCCCAGAAACCCTCAGTACTCATAATATCTGAAGAAGAAAATGAAGGCTATTCGAACACAAACCAGGATGAGAATGCATCCTCTTCCATCACAGACGAGTGGGAGCAGCTCGTTATTGTTGATGACATGAATGACAGCTTGTCTGCTGCCACCATTTCTTTGCCAAAAACTCATGTCTCGGTTCTAACTCATGACAGACCTTTAGATGAGAGAACCAGCAGAATTCTCGAGAGGTTGGAAGCCCCAAAATGTTCTCCATCCTTTTCAACTAAAGTGATCAGCAAAGAGAATAAAAACTCCATTGTAAAATTAGATCCAATCTCCATTCAGCCGCTGAGGCCAAACTTCCAGAGGCCGAAGAGGAAGCTGGGGTAATTTTTCTTCTTTAGTACATTACTTGTTGGTGTAAGAGATAGAGGATATGCCAATACTGAGTGAAACTGCTTTTAAACGTTTTATTATACGAACTTCTGGTTAGAAAATTGTGGTGTTTCAGAGATTAACGTCTGTCTGAAATCATTTCTTGCATTATTTTTTAGGGGCATTTACATACATACCACCTAATTCCTATGTATTGTAACACTTACAATTTTCTTTTTGCATTTATACCACCCAAATCATTTGTATGACAAAAATACCATCATTAACTTTTAAGAAGACACTCGTCACATTGATGTTCAAGTGTTAAATATGTAAATACATATAAATTGAATGTTATGTTTGTAAATCTTCCTATTTCTTATGAAAACATTCGTATAGAGGTTGGTCGATCTGATTAAAGCACCAAGTAGTCGCACATTGATTTTGAGCATGACCATATCTAGACCTTTTTCCTCAAGCAGACTTATTCCACATCTGAAAGAAGTTTTTGTAGCAGAGGTGTTGACTAATAAAAATAGGGGTATTACATGTATTTACATGTCCAACACTTAAATTTTCATATTCACATGCACAATACTCAAAATCATTAATATCATATCAAAAGCATCATTAGAACTAATTTTAAGAATATAAATGCACCCTTTTAATACATAACTTTATGACGGCAAAGTGTTATAAATATAAATATTAAATTTTAGGTGTTAGATATTTAATTCTATAAAAATGTTGACTTTTTGTAATTTTTCCCAAAAAAAAAACAAAAAAAAAAAAAGAAAATGGAAGGGACATTAATATCCTTGGTTCTTATGAGAGTTTGTCTTTAGCCACAGAAGTAGATATTAAGATTCTACGCTAAAGCTCAAAAGAAAAAAATGGAGATGTTATTCCATTCTGAATCTAATAAAAAGTCAAGAATTATATGTTCTTAAAGCTCTCTAATTTAAAGAAGCTGTTTTAGTGAGAAATTCTATGGAGCTTTGAGCATGCATGTAGGTCTTTAGGTTTCATTTGATCTAAATTAATTTGGTAAAAAGAGAAATTTCAAGCAATACAGAAAACAAGCAACAAAGAATTTCTTCCAACGAAGTTAGTGTATGAATATCAAATTTAAGCAACAAACATTGATTATAGTGATGATTACAACACGTAAATGCAACAAACATTCAACGCATGAAAATGCAACAAACAATCTGCACATAAAAAAATGCAAACAATACATGCATGAAAATGCAACATGACCTACAAACAAGAGTTTCTGCCCAATTGCAAATGACCATACTCCAAAATAGCACTCTCCAGTCGCCGGAGTTCCTCACAGTCCATGCACTGGACGTTTGGTTTGTTATACCAGAAAGGGAGAGAGTTTCCGGCCATTGCTTCGTTAAAATCAAATTCCCAACATATTTCGGCCTCCTTCTCAGCGGCAACGGCAGGTGGAGGGCAGAGAAAGGAGTCGGCCTCGAGTTGGGTTTGAGGACAGAGAAGTGTGTCAAAGGTTTCGAAGTCGGAGCAGTAAAGCTTTCCCGCCTGAGAAAAAGCGAGAACGGCTACCTTTGTACCACATAAGACGGAGAGTTCCTCTGCCTTCTTGAATAGTCCTTTGCGACGCTTTGAGAAGCAGACCATTCTCGCTGAAGCCGACTCTATTAGTTTATTTTCCAATTTCTTCCTTCCTTTTCCGGCCATTGCAGCGGAGAGCTCGGAGGAGAACGGAAGAAGCGTCTGAACAGAGAGCGCCTGGAGTGGTCGGAGGAGAATGGAAGCACCGTTCGGAGGAGAACGAAGCAGAGCAGATTGAAGGACGGAGGAGAAGGAAGCAGAGCAGATTGAAGGACGGAGAGGAGAACGACGCAGAGTTGATTGAAGGACGGAGGAGACCGGAAGCGAAGAGAAGGGAGAGGAACTGAGAGGACTTCGGGATGGAGAGTTTGGGGGAGAAGGAAGTAGCTTCAGAACAGAGAGGTCGCCGGAGAACGCAAGAGAACGGAGAGAGCGATGGAAGAAGAAAGGATTGCGATTTCAATTGTCTTGGGTAAATTTAAATTAGTTAACGTTAACACAATTTACCGTTAACATTGCCACAGATTTAAAATTTAAATTTGAAATTTGAATTTAAATTTGGATTTATTTGTAAGTATTGTTAATTTTAAGGGAGAATTACGTAGATACCACCGTATTTCAGACCAGAGAGATACCACCGTAAAGTTTAATTTTTTCTTATGAAATTTGATTTATGATATTTTGATGGGTTTATTGTAATGAATTTGGAAAATTAGTTCGATTTAAATTTCATCAATATATAAGGAAAAAAAATTAACAAAAGCTGGCAATAAAATTAATAAAGTTCTTGTTTTTTCTTTCAAAATTGAGTAAAATCATTAGAGATAAAAATTTATAGGCCTCATTTTCTTAAGATGAAAAATCAATCAATCAGTTAATTTAAGTCATAGAGATTTAGTATCCTAAATAGCATGATCTTTTGATATAACCAGCCATAAAGTATTAAGACTTTAAATAATTATTGAAAAACAAATAATAAACAGTAATATTCGTTTCTAACCAAATAATCAACTATAACCTCCCATGGTAATGACATTAAAAAAATAAGACAAAAAATATTTATAAAAATGCCTCCCTCCAAGTAATTGCATGAAAAAGATGGTTTATTTAAAATTTTTAAAAACTTAAGTTAAAACATGTAACCTTACTTGATAATTTTCTTAACCCGCGAATTAGATCTCATTTGGAAAAAAAAAAAAAAACATTAAAAGTGAATTTTATTCTTTTTTGATTGAGAAATAAAGGGCACTATAACACTAGGCTATGTGACGTATACGTTAAAGTTCAATATTTCTTCCTCAGATTTTTACCAAGGGAGGACTGGTCCTCTTGAACATGTAATTTTTTTTTAATTTCTAGTCTGCTTACTATGAATAAATGTTGCCCCTAAGTGTAGTTTATTCTATACAATACTTAAGGAATTGATTCTATGCTAGCTCAATGACATATCGATAGGAGTCATCGCCTCCTTCAATAAGTTTAAGAAAATGTTTATGGCCAAATTCACTCGTGCTCAAAAGCCAATAAAAAATCTCTAGCTTTATAAAAGATTGAACAACAAGCTCCATCCAAAAGTTTGAGGAGCTTCATAACTATATTCCAGCTGAAAAAGTTCAACATTAGGGATCTTGATCCTTCCATAGCCTTCCATCACTCATGCAAAACTTGCATAGGGTCTAAGAGAAGGCTCATTCTAAAATGCTCTTGGCTTTCAAAAGCCAAAAAAATTTGGTTGAACTCCTAAAATTGGCAAATGACCACATTTTGGCCGAAGAGTACAACTCTTTGTTGAAAATCTTTAGCTCTAGAGAACCTAAGAAAATATTCTAGAAAAGTGTTTTTTTTGCGAACACAAGTTGTCCCAACACTGATTCATACGATGGTACCATCAATGCGCTCTGTGAAGACATCATTGACAACAATAGCAATCGGAGCAGTCAGATCGAAGATTTATCATAAGGAGGCTAAGGAGAAGACATAAAATACCTAGCCGTCTGCACTAGAAACCACTCCTTTGAGAGTGTCAATAGCTGAGATCGTAGAGACCGTCAAAAATAAAGAATTCTTTAGGAGTCCTCTCTTGATGAAGGATGGGAGTTTCCAACATATTCTTAATAAGTATTGTGTTTATCATCGTGATCACCGACAAGACATTGAGGAATGCCATCATTTTTTAAAACCGATTAAGGAATTGATTTGAGCTAAAAATTTAAAAAGAATTCATTTCTCTATAAGCCAATACTCAAAGACAAGGAAAGGCGACTGACGAGACTGCTTATCATGTACCAATCTCAATCACTGTCTTGCATGGCACCAAAGTCTTACCCACCATTTTTGGTAGGGATGGACTTTAATCCTTGTGATGTTCAAGTTTGAATGATTGAATGCAAAATATGTTAATTCCACCAACTTGGATAAAGCCAGCATTCCTACTCATCTATTGATCACATTCACGAGAGCTGACTTACCAGATGGTGGAAATCGGTTCGACAATTATATCATCATAACCATAATAATGTGTGCAGTATTTGTGAAATTCAAATATATGCTTATAAAAATTAATTATATTTGCCATCGTATCAATAGAACATAAATGGAAGGCTCTCAAATTTAAAACTAAAAGCAAAATCTGAATATTTTAAATATAATTCATTTATTAGAAGTTTGTGATAATGAGTGTTCATTGGTGTAATTATGTTTCAAATTTCAGAAGATTTGACCATACAATAGTTAAAGAAACTTGAGTGGAAAATAATATATCTTCTAACTAAATAGTCAAAAGTCTTAGAACTTTATTTTTTTGGCTAAATGAATTTCAAAGGATATTAAAGCAAAACATCAAAATCTTAGGGATTGTTTGGTATGTCACTTTTTTAATGGATATAAGTTAAGATTTAATGTAAATCCTGTCAAATGTTATTTTTTTGTGAAATAAATCCGACGCATTTTTAAATTTGATTTTTCGGATTCCGTTCATTTTTTGATAGATATCCGGATTAATTAAATTCAACTATTAGTTGGATAACCTAGAAAGAAAATATTTCAAAAAGATTTAAGCAAAACACCTCAAATGAATTTGACTGAATTTAATCTTAATGAAACCAAGCATTTTTTCGAATTTAACAATATTTGGATTTGATAAATCCATATTTACTAAATCTTATTTAACTTAAATCCTACTTGAAGCCAAAAGCACCCCCTTAAAGTTGATAGTGAAGATGATATCAAATGTGCACACAACTAATAAAAATATGTTGCATTAATAATATAGAGTTATGATTTATAAAATTTCACACACAATGATATACTAGTTTCAAAAGATTAAACTATGAAAGGCGCACTTTTCTACCAAAAAAAAAAAATTATTACAAACATATGTTAATTAAATTCTTTATTAATAATATTAAGAACCTTTGTGTGGGTTTGCCTTTAGGTTGAGTGCATATTAATTTGATTTCCTTCGGCAAAAAATAAATTTTAAAGAATACAGAAACAAAACCTCAAAGTCTTAGGTTGTTTGGTACGCAACTTTTTAATGGATTTAAGTTATGATTTAACGTAAATCCGACCAACGTTATTTTTAAGTGAAATAAATCTCAAGCTTTTTAAATCTGTTTTTTTTAAATTTCGTTAATTTTGTGAGGGAAATCAAAATTTATTAAATTCAACTATTTGTTGGATTTAATAGATTTAACTTAGAAAGAAAATATTTCTAAGAGATTTAAGCCAAACACCTCAAATGACTTTAACTTAACTTAATCTTAATGAAACCAAGCATTTTTTCAGATTTAACAATATTTGGATTTGCTAAATCCAGATTTATCGGATTTACTAAATCCTATTTAACTTAAAGTCTTCTTGCAGCCAAACACCCCCTTAAAGTTAACAGAGAAGATGATATCAAATGAGCACACAACTAATAATATGTTGGATTAATAATATAGAGTTATAATTTATAAATTTGTGCACACAAGGATACACCACTTTCAAAAGTGTTACATTATGAAAGTTGAGCCTTTTTGCAACAAAAATTAAGGTCATATTTGATGTGTTTGCCCTTAAAAAAAAATACAAACATATGTTGATTAATTAATCATATTAAAAACCTTGGTATGGGTTTACCTCTAGGTTGATTGCATATTACTTTGATCTACAAGGATTCAATCTCTAAGACATTTTTCACAACTTTCTTCTTTCTTATTTACTTGGCTAGCTAGAAATTTTAAAACTTCAAACTCACAAGATAAAGCAAGAAAATTCTTTCTCGCTTCATAAGAAAATCAATTAAGAAAACAAGTTGGATTTCTTATGAAATAGAAAAAAAAATAATCTTTTTGTATGTTTTTAAGATAAGTAAATGCTTAGTTCAAAAAAAGTTAATAAAAACAAGTAATCTTTGTTGAATTGGCAGTCTGCTTGTTATGAATAAACGTTGCCCTTAAGTGAAGTTTATTCCTCACAATGCTTAAGGAATCGACTCTATGCTAGTTGAATAACTTATTGCTTGGTTCCATCGTCTCCTTCAATAAGTTCAAGCGCATGTTCATGACCCAATTCACTAGCGCTCAAAAGACACGAAGAAGCTCTCAAGTTTTATTAAAGATTCAACAAGCTCCATTCGAAACTTTGTACAGCTTCATAAGCAGATTCTGGTTGAAAAATCTCAATATAAGAGATCTTTAGCATTACATCACCCACCCATGCAACACATGTATAGGGTGTATGAGAAGGATTATTTTAAAATGCTCTTGACTTGCAAAAGCTAAAAAAATTTGACGAAACTATTAGAATTAGCCAACGACCACATTTCGGTTGAAGAATACAACTCTTTCTCGAATATCTCTAGCACTTGAGAACCTGAGGAAAGATTCCAGAAAGCGAGTTTTGAAAACATAGGGGGTCCCAACACCAACTCATATGATGGGACCATCAAAAGTCTCTGTGAAGACTTCCTCGATAATAGTAGCAATCAAAGAAGTCTGATCGAAGATTTATAGTAAAGAAGTCTGAGTGAAGACAGAAAATACCTTAGCCCTCTGCACTTGAAATCACTCTTTTGTGAGTGTCGATAGCAGAGATCGTAGAGGCTATCCAAAATAAAGAATTCTTTAAGAGAGCTTTCTTGATAAAGGTTGAGAGTTTCTAAAGCAATTTTAATAACTATTGTGCTTCTCATCATGATCACAGGAAAGACATTGAGGAATTTCATCATCTTGGAAAATTGATTGAAGAGCTGGTTCGAGCAAAAAATTTAAAAAGATTCATTTCATCATGAGCCATTGCTTAAAGGCAAAGAAAGTCGACTGCCGAGATTGCTTCTGATGGACCAATCCTTGTCACTATCGTGCATGTCATCGATGTCGTACCCACCATTTTTGGTAGGGATAGACCTGATTCCTCAAGATGTTCAAGTTTGATTGATTGGAAGT